TTATAAAATGTTCAAACACTTATTACTAATGTTATATTTCTGGTTTATAAATCACCCAAAGTAAATCTTCTAAGAGATTTTAAAGAAGCAAAATAGTCAAAAATGGAAACTCACCCCCATGTCATTCCAAATCAGTATGATTTTCTTTTCTATGTATTTTATAGAGACGTAAGCATTTAGCAAAATTTCCAAGCTGCTCTTTTTCCATACAACAAAATAGACTTGTTCCAAAAGGAGCTTGTGCATATTGGTTCTTTGTGGTCACCAGACACATGAGAACCAATAGCACTTGAAGCGTGAAGCATCTCAAGGCACCAATGTCTGCAAACACAAATGTGATTTTAGGATGAAAGATTTTCACCAAACACAGAAATCTCTTATATGGCTTCGGAAGACTTGAATTACAGTGTGTGACTCCTATTGACTATTTTCCTGATGTTTTTTCGCTGCTTTTTGTCCATTTTGGGGCTTAGAATTACAAATCACCATCCACTTTCCAAGAACAGCCTAGAATCTCAGACATTCTGTCCTATTATCTCTTTGTGTGTTTCACTGATATAAATAGAACATTTAGTGTATTTGCATTTGACCCTCTTCTGTACTCATCTTGACAGCTTGAAAGGCTCCTGCGAATTTCAAAACATTAATTATGCAATTTGCATGTGCATGTGTCAGAGGAGCAATGCTTCTGTTTAATTAAGCAAGGTTCCACGTGGAAAGCATGCATGAGCAGGGAGTGGGCGGTTTTATGCTAATTTACTCTCAGCTGCTCATATAGGGATTGTTTATAATCTTAACAGGGTATTTCACCAGCATGCATATTATGCTAGTTTTTTGCGCAGTGATTGGTTTGCGATGGATGGGTCTCTTTAGGGCCGTATCAGAAAGCTCGTAATGAAATGCATTTTTAAATAACTTCTGTCACACCGTGAGTTATCGCTACCTGCCTGGATTCATACGCTAGAGACGGAAGTTATCAGGATGATTTGGTGATTACTGCTCTGTTATTCACATGGTGATTTGACTGTATGCACTGATGAAGACTATAATTGGACTGAATATCATTACCAATATGACATCATGAAAAAAAACTGAAGTGAGTCATTAGTATTTGTGGCCCCTGGGGTTATATAAGTTTCCCTTAAAAGGTTAGTTGCAAAAAATGAAAATTCTGTTATAATTTACTCACTCTCATGTGATAAATTTCAGTCTTATTCACTAATCTGGTTTAATAAAATTCAATAATCAAAATTGGAAAATTATACAATTTAAAATAACTATTTTGAATATTTTTTTAAATGCAATTTATTCCTGTGATGGCAAAGCTGCATTTTCAACATCCATTACTAATATGCAATCATTCTAATATGCTGATTTGGTGCTTAATTATTATTAGAATGATTTCTGAAGGATCATGCGAGACTGAAGACTGGAGTAATGTAGTAATCTTTCAAAAGATTCACCAACAACGCTTAAACTACTCATCTCTCAACTCCGCCTCTTTCTTTTTTACTCATTCTCTTTTTGTACTTGATTTTGCTTTACTCTTCATCTCTTCAATCTTCATTCTTGCATAATTCATTGTGACTTCAATTATTCACAATAATTTTAAAAGTTGCTTAGCTGTTTCCAACCTCCTTTTCGTACATTATGTAGGTGAAATGTTCTGTGATGATTACATATGCGGACCTTCATCTGCTCACGTCTCTGAATCTCCACTTAACATCTTTTACTTCACTACCATTCTCTAGGGTTTACATCAATGGAGAGGTGCCAGACAGTAGAGCAGTTTGTGTTAATGGCTCCAGAGCTGTTGACAAATGGCACAATCTAAATATGTCACTTTTGTTTCACATTTAGTTTTATGAAAATTAGTGATTTTAAAGTTGATATATGGAAATTTATATCTGAGAGTCATTTGCACCAAACACTTTAGTGATTGTTACAAACAAATGCATCAATATAACATGAGCTAGATGATTTTGACCACATCAAGATTATATTGCTGTTGTTTGTATCCATTCCATCTGCTATGGTAAATTGCTGTGGTGAAAGGAAATCAAAGGGTCACCACTAGCTAACATGGGTCTGTGTCATGGAAGTCCATCTGGCATTAGCAAACCACTCTGTGTCATTCGTAGCTTGCTGCTCAAAAGGCTAATGATTGAAAATAAAGCTCATTACTATTCCAGACTACATCTCCCTTGTGTAACCACCAGATCTGGATTTGACAAAGACTGACTATGGTCTGTGACCTTCTGAATTTAAAGATCACCAAACTACATGTGTTACCAACACCAAATACAGTACCAAACCAATACATTGAACAAAATGAAATACTTCATAATAATATGTAAACAATCTATAAAATGGAGCATCATGGAAAATAATATTAATAATAATAATAATAATAATAATGTATTATTATAAAATACATTATAATATATTAAAAAATATTTACAAATAATAACAAATTATTTATTAAATGTATATATATATATATATATATATATATATATACAGGC